GCTGAAGTCGGATGCTTAACCGACTGAGCCACCCAAGCGCCCCAGCAACTCCATTTTAAAAACTTACCTAAAGACAAATCCACTTGTTTTGACAACAAAAGACTTTAGGCTACTGACCACACAGACTCATTCTCCTTTGAGCTGATTTTGTTCCCTCTGAGGCCTGAAGTATTCTTCCGATGCCAGGTGTGCATATGTGTGGACACAACAGACTACTTCTTGGAGAGCAACGGGTCCTGGGGTTGATGAGGAAGAAAGCTGAACAGCCCTCAGAAAGCCCTGGCACAGAGCAGCCTGCTCAAGAGAGATCACTTGAAGACTTCTTACTCAAAGCCAGATGGTGAACATGAGATGGGGTGAGAGCTAATGCCACTCAGGGGGAAAGCCAATAAGCTAATCCGCTGACACGTTTCTAGAAGCAGGCTGATGACTTTGGCTCAGAGACTTGCCTATTCTTGGCTCTGAGCTTCAGAGCACACAAGATGCACATGGGTGACCCGAGAACTGACTCCCACAAGGAGGAACGGCAAACATTCACACCAACACATCCTCCTCCTTCCACACAGAAAACAGCCCTGGAGGGGCGCCTGGGTGGCTCGGTCGGTTAAGCGTCCAACTTCGGCTCAGGTCATGATCTTGTGGTTTGTGGCTTTGAGCCCCACATCAGGCTCTGTGCTGACAGCTCAGAGCCTGGAGCCTGCTTCAGATTCTGTCACCCTCTCTCTCTCCCCTTTCCCTGCCCATATCTCTCTCTCTCAAAAATAAATATTAAAAAAGAAGAAGAAAATAGCCCTGGATCACCATGCCCAGGACATCCACCTCTATAAGACAATAAGCCCAACCATTAAGAAAGACATTCCATTCTCCTGTCCCAAATGCTTTTCCTGGCAGTCTAGGCCACCCTGCTCCTTCTGGGTCATCTATACATAAGCACATCCACATACAGCCCTGAGTGGAATCATTTACATAACTAATAATATTCCAACAGACCCCACAATGCTGATTTAAATAGCAAGCACCACAGCTGAACTCCGGTGGGAGCTCTAATCCCCAGGTTCTTATCCTAGCTAAACTAGAGATTAGTTTGTGGAAATTTATGCCAAATCACCCCTCTGAATTTACCAGTTGGGATAAGATCACCTGCCCACCCCACATGGGTGTTGTGACATCAAGATGATGAATGAAAGCACTTGATATATTGTCGATCACCGTATCGCATTTCCTAGAGGAATCAGTTAATTCCATCTTTACCGATGGCCGGAGAGGATATTAACTGGCAAGTGCTTTATTAGAAATCTAAATATCCACTTACACGTGTCTGAGCCTAGCACGCAGATGGTGTCCAACTGTGTGAGATGTGAGAGCAATCTGTATAAAAACAATGCAACTAAATGAAACTGGCAAGAGTTACAAAGGGAGAAGGTAGACAAAAGGAAAATTCCTGCTTCCAACTCTGAGTCCCTGAAAAGTGGCCTCCTTTCCCATCCCACACAACTGCGGAGGACAAGGCTCCCACACACTACAAGGTTATTCCTGGTGACGTCAAACTGCCTTCTGCCTGACTTCGTGAATAGAAACCATCAACAAATACAGACTCTGAGAACCAGAGTCTAATAAATTACACAAGGTAAGGACCCCCTGGCTAGGGGCCTTCACGTATTTACAAAATAGACCACCTACAGGGAGACTTTTTTTTTTTTTAATCACTAAATTCCTAGGTTAAGTGACCAGTCTCCAAATCCTGTTTACACTAAAAGCACAATGACTAACAATGCCCCGACTCTGCATGCTTAACAGCTTTTCACACCAGTGGCTGAAACCGGAGTCGTGATCAAGGAAATCATCAAAGCACATGGATCAAGACACCCTACTGTATGCACTGTGCCGACTTGAACCCTGAGCTCTGTGCCTCCCTTCCTTCCCAGATCGGGACTCCATAACAGCTCCTTCCCTGCTCACAGCTGAGCCTAAGAAAAGGTGACACGTGATTAAGCAAACCGCTGCTCGGTATGCCCGGCTTGCCACAATGGGTCTCCCAGATGCTTTTCCAACGGGAAATCACATACCATATGTATATGAGATGTGTGTGTGTGTGTCTGAGCTTGAGGTGGGCAGGGAGGCCCTGCTGTAACAAAACAAACCCAGCAAGGCTGATAGCTTTGCTCCCTGCACTCACTCAGCATTTGTCACTTTGTGCTGCCCAGTAATTTAGGCATGAATTTAAGAATTCAAGACCTCTTTCAATGCCACAGGTGCAGTTCGTAGCCAAAACTGACCATTTTTGTCACGGTAAATCACTTGAACACTCTTGTCCTGTGATGGAAACTCAGGTGCCTTCTATTTCTGCAAGCAATGAATTTGCCTTCTTAAGGAAGGAGAAATCATTACATACCCAGTAATAAATGCAAATTGTTGCTGCTGAATCAAACCATGTAATGCTTGCCCAGTTAAATAAACATCAAACTTAGGAGTCTTACCTAGATTGATGGAGAACGGATTTAAAGATTTAGATTCTGGTTATTAGCAAGTGAGAGAGGAAAGCTGCATTAACTGCATTACAGGCAGAGTCAGAGGCAGCATCAGAACGGGTGAGGAGCAGGAGCCAGTGTGATGGCTACTCCAAAGCACCGGACCCTTTCCTTAAATCTCACATCAAGGCGACACAACTGAATTAAGAAAGCCCTCGAAAGTCGAGCTGTTCCACATGAAGAACTATTAAAGAAGTTGAAGGTGGGTACATATTTCCCTTTGCTAATATCAGAATTATTTTCACGGCTGAGGTCTCTTGGCCTAGTCCAAAACTGAGCAACTGGCTGCCAACATCTGACACACAGGACCATTTCCTTTTTCGTTAATGGGCCATCAGTTCCTGCATAGGGTAGTCTTGCCTTCACTAACATTCTACAATCCATTTGCTTCCTCCACATTAGTGACTTAAAATGCACCAAGGGGAGATACTACAGAACAGCAAATATGGAACCGGGCCAACACCAGGCTTGCACAGACATAAGAAAAGAGATGGCATCTAGGACAAAGTTAAAACAATTAAAAATAAAACTTAACAGGCGTGTGTGTGTAAAGGGGGTGGAGGGAAGAGGAGAGAGGACCCATCCTCTTTCAATTTGCTGAGGCAAAATCTCCCTGCTGTGAGAGCTGCCACCTCCCGGGAAAAGAGCCAGTAGGTTGCCTCCTCTCTCAGCGGTTACATATTAAGCCTGCAACTGTTTACGCTCAATCTCAGATACATTCTGTTCACCAGCTTCAGAGTTCCAAGTGCAGGTGCCCTCAGTTAATCATCCCAGCTCACTCCAGAGGCACTTCCAGCAGTGAAGGATGTTCCAGGCAGTCAGCCAGCCAGAGTCGGTTTTTTTTGTTTTTTTTTTTTTTAACTGCACCATTCTGGTCCCTAAAGACTTGTTTAAAAAGTTTGGTTTTTGTTTAAAGTGGTTTCCTCAGATGAGAGGTAACAGTCAAAGGACAAATCTAGGACTTCAATTTGGACGATGAAAGACAATGAGGAATGAAGAAACAAACTCTTGGTGGTGACAGCATTGGGGGAGGGAAGGGAATGGAAATGAATAATAGACCTAAACGCTGAGGAAAAATATTTTCTTAAAAAAAAGTGTTGAAGGTTACCTTCCAAGACAAGAAAATCAACCTCATAGTCATTTTGAAAAAACTATTTACTTTTTTCCAAATATGTGTTTTACAGAAAAGGGTCGCTATGGGTCAAAAACATTCTACAGAAAAAAGCATTTTTATAGATATTGGAAATAATTTTAATAAAAGAACAAGTTCATATTTATCTAGCTGTGGCTGTGTTCCATAGGAAGAGTTTAGCAACCAAAGTGCAAAGACAAAATGAGTGTGGCATTTCTTGCCACACAAAATATTGACAATCTCCCTTATAGCCTACTCTTAATTGCAAACTGGGACGCCAAATAGATGACATATGACCTTTAGAAGTAGGGTTCCAATGGACAAGGGGACAGGAGGGTCAAGCATCAGAATGAATTCAACCGAAGTGCAAACTGGCTTTGACCCCAGCCAAACCCAAAGTCCAGCCAGAGGCCCATTAGAGATAAATACAAGTAGGAATATCACTTTTACAAGGTTGTGCCACTTAACACTATTAAACCTAATCGATCCAAATCAAAGCTAAGCACACCCCCATTACTAGTTCTGTCCTCGTCCTATCCCATTTTTATGAAGGCTCCACATGATAGCTTAGTTCATGCCGGGGGAAGATCTTCCAAGTTCTCAGAAGGAGCCCTCCCAAATCCTCTGTCCAACCTTTTTTTACCCTGCCCTCCCACCTCCCACCCTGAGACAAGTCAATCTTAACAAAGAGGTGGGGATTCTGTCATTGTCTCAGGGAAATTAGTTCTAAATAACACCAGAGAAAGATCACTTCCATGAGCAGCATTTGGCTTTAAGCCAAGGGGATGCACCTTCTTCCAGCCTCCCCGCAAAATCACAACGAATTCTGTATCATCCTTTCTACCGCAGGAGAGATCTCCCAAGTTCCCAACAATGACTGCACAAGGTGTTGATATTACATTACTTGAGGAGAAAGAGAGGGAGATATATATAGTTTTAATAAAACCCCCATGCACAATTAAACTTGATTAAAAGCCTGGAGAATGCTAAAAGTAGTAATGAGTCCAGGAGGCTGCAGAGCAGAGAGTACAGGTGCAGCCTTCCTGCAGTCAGGAAATGCTGGCAAGTAACAGGAGACATGACTTCACTTGAGCATTGGAGAAGCAAAAAAGTTGCCTTGTCGTCCTAAGTTGGTGGCAGATTTGCTTTTGCTCCCAAATCTAAAAGAAAAGAAAATGAACTGAAAAAGGAGTCTATAAAAAAAGGTAAACTGTAACATTATTTAATATTATCATCTAAAAATAGGAAGCCCTCCACAACTACTCTGTAAACGACTCTTTGTCACCTGAGATGAGAGGGGAAACAAAACCTTTAGACCCTTTTAAAAAGGGGGTTGTTATGGCTCCAGATTACCTTTTAATGCCTACTTGCTAGCTCAGGTCTCATTCAATTTTTCTTTCAATAAGCTTCGGTGTGATAGGAAAAGAGGCCTAAGGAAGCAGCCCTATTTTACTTCCAAAGCCAGCCAGTTCCACATACCTGGGCGTGTTCTTGGTGAGGGTGGAGCGGACTCTCTGCGACAGGGAACTAGATGAAGGAGTCTTGAGAAGCTGATGCTCAGGAGTGGTCACGGGCCCCAGTAAACTCACTTTAATCAAAGTTAAGACATATTTTTAAAGGAGGCACAAAAAGGAAAGCACCCTTGTCAGTGGCCAGTTTTAAGTTGAGTATGCCATGAAGCACTTAAGAGCTAAGGTTAGAGGCCCAAAGTCCCAGAGATCATTTCTGTCATTGTCTTGTAACACAGCAGTATATCTTTTGAACTGTGCAGGCAACTGCTCAATGAATAGCTGACTTTCACTTCCTGATTGAGGCCATTCTCAAACTCCAGCTTTCACAAATCTAACGTCTGATCATTTGGTTCTTACCTGTATTAGAAAAAACAGTATGCTTTCTTAAAAAGGATCTTGGGGCACCTGGGGGG